TAAGGGTGGAGGCCCAAGGTTGATGTGGAGAGTGTTGGTATTCAAGCATCTGTGCACATCCACTATGTTCCCTTTAAAAAGGGTTCGGCCTACCTCCCATCCTTCTCTTCCTCTTTGTCTCCCTCTCCCCTGCTCCTCTCTATCTATCTATCTATCTATCTATCTATCTATCTATCTGTTCTCTCTCCTGCTGCTCCTGTCCCCGGAGGCCACTCTCTCTGTCTCTGTCTCTGTCTCTGTCTGTCTCTCTGTCTCTCTGTGTCTCTGTCTCTGTCTCTCTCTCTCTCTGTCTGTCTGTCTTTCTCTCTGTCTTTTCTCTCTCTTGCTGCTCCCCGGAGTCACCTTTCCCTCTTTTATGATCCCTTTCCCTAATTAAAAAACCCCTCCACTTGAACTGTGTCCAATGGCTTGTTACTCTCACACTCCACTTTTCTTATTACAACGGAGTCTTCCTTGATTCCTCTCCTCCTTATTCATTGAGGCAAGGTCTCTCAACTGAACCCAGAGCTCACTGATTCAGCTAGTCTAGTGAGTCAGCTTCTCTGGGTATTCTTTGTCTCTGCCTTTCAAGCACTGAAATTATAGGCAGGCCCATCCGGCATTTATGTGGGTTCTGGGTATTGAACCCTGTCCTCATACTTGAGAAGCAAGGGCTTTAACCAAAAAGCTATCTCCCCAACCCTGGTAGGGCTTACATAAATAAATAAATAAATAAATAAATAAATAAATAAATAAATAAATAAATAAATTTGGGAGAAATAAAACTCACTTTAACCCTGACAATGTTGGGTTGAAAGCAGAATCTGTTTTTCTCATTGTGAGAAAAATTATAAACTCTGAAGATACGGGTCTGCGAATCGGGGGATTTTCCTTCTTATCAATGACTTAGAATCCAGCTAATAGAAGATGAAAGAGCTCCATGCACAGAAGATTGACTTTTTTTTCCAGGCATTTACGGGAAAGCAGCCACTCAATGCCCAGGAAGAGAGGCAGCTCATTTCTCTCCCTTTGTCTGAGCTGGCTGCTAACCTACAAGAATCGGAGAGCAGTCTGGATTGAAAGGTCAGACTGGAAGGTGTAGTTATCTCCAGAAGAGGTCACATAAATCTTTGAATTTCCTGAGATAACAAAGCCAACTGAAAGCATGAGTCATGTAATTTGGGCTGACTCTGCTAGTGCTCTGCTACTCTGTTACACACACACACACACACACACACACACACACACACACACACACACACACACCCTGCTCGGAAATAGAACAAAAGCAAAGGTGTGGTGGTTCTGCCTGGTTCTGCCACTTCCCATCTGTGTAATCTTGGGGACCTTCTTGGGAGGCTTCAATTTCCTTATGTATATGGAGACTAAAGGAGATTAAAATGGTTTCGTAAATGCCAGTTCAGCCTTTGCTTCTGAGGAAAGACATCCACGGCACCTCCCTGAGAAGGCCCTCAGCCTACATTGTCACTCAGTGGGTGATGCTCTGTTGGGGGCAGCTGGCAAATGTGACTTCATCTCAACACCTGCATGCTACTCTCCCTTGTCTTCTCCGTGTATTTCCTCTCTCTTTCTCTCTTTCCCTTCCTCCTTCTAAGTCCCAAGCCAAGTAGTGAGAAAGGACTTGTAACACGGGCAGGTGGCATTAGGAGTGTCAAAGGGGGAGGGGGTGAAAGGATGAGCAGACAGGCTTCTGAACCCCGCAGTGTGCCCTGCTTTTCCCACTCACCTTTTATCTCAATGTAGACATGTCCTAGGTAGAGCACACCCAGTCCACTTATCTCCAGGTCAGACGTCACTACTCTGAACGCTAGGCTCAAATGCCCAACAGCCGTTAAAAGTCTCCACTCTATGTACACAAGCCCTTCGGCCTCCTCTATTCTAGACTAACTCACCACTCCCCGCCCACTCTCTTGCCCACTTTAAGTAACAGCACCGTTATACACCAGATTCCAAAGGCCAAAGGTGGGAGCCAACCTCAGCACTTCCTGTCCATCAGCACCCACCCACCTCCGTCCCGGCTCTCACCTGCCCACCTCCTCTGTCATCAGATCTCACCAGCCTACCCCCTCTAGGGACTGCTGATACCCAGATCTCTGATGTTTTTTTCTTCTCTCTCGTGACTCCTTTTTCCTTTTCTTTTTTTATATCTGTGTCCCAAAATATTTCTTTCACGTGAACTTCTATATCATTAATTTCGTTTTCAATATGATCATCTCCTCTGTGATTTTTAAGTTTAAAAATCAAGACTTTTACTTGGTTTGGTTTAGCTTTCTGGTTCTAGGACTTTTGTACATGCAATGGTTTTTTGTTGTTGTTTTGTTTTTTAAGTAAGATCCATGTCTATCTCCTCCAGTAGCTGTCATCAAAGGAATTACTTCTCAGGGGGGTTTTGCTGTGCTCTGTTATCATTGAAAATACCTAAGTGCCTCCAGCTGTCCTTCAAGAGCTCTTGGCTCTGTTTTTGTCCTGGATTGCAGGCCCAGCTATAAGAATGGCAATGACTTCAGGAGCCCTGGGAAGTGTAGCACCCAGGGAGCCAGTTGGGTGGCAGGCCACACACACACACACACACACACACACACACACACACACACACACACCTTCTAAAAGAAGTCTTGCTGTTCCCCATCTGCTCAGCCACAGGACCACAGTTCTCAGAAGTGAGGTGGCCCAGTTCATACTACGTGTCTACCTAGAAAGTAGAGGCTAGCAACTATCCCAGGATCCCATAGAGCTGGCACTGATCATTGAAGCCCCTGTAGCCACAGGAAAGTGAAGAATGTTGTGACAAGGTCTCTCTTTCCTAGAAAGAGGAACAATAATGACTCCAGAATAAGAGGGTCTGGATTCTGGTACCACCACCTCCTCCTCTAAGCAGCTGGGTATCTTAACCAAATCACTTGGTCTCTCTGGACATCTGCTTCCTCACTGGGGGAAAAATGTGATAAAATGTGCTTTGCCTACTTCACAGGATTTTATGGGGTCTTAGTAAGAAAATGTTTTCAATGTATGTTTTGAAAGCTAAAAAAATAGAATAAAAATTAAACTGGGCCAGTGGTAGGGGTACATACCCTTAATCCCAGCACTCGGGAGATAGAGGCAGGTGGACCTATGTGAGTTCAAGGCCAGCCTGCTCTACAGAGCAAGTGCCAGCACAGGCTCCAAAGCTACAAAGAGAAACCCTGTCTCAAAAAAACAAAACAAAACAAAAAATTAAACTGTCCTGCTAAGTGTTATCATTTGCGTGAAGCTATAAGTGTCAGGGAGCTAGAGAAATGGCTTGGTGATTAAGAGTGCTTGTTACTCTTACAGAAGACCCAGGTTTGGTTCCCAACACCATATAGAAATTCACAAATGCCTGCAACTCCAGTTCCAGATGATCCAATACCCTCTTTTTTCCTTCACAGACATTGCATGCACATGGTGCACTAACACACACAAAATAAATAAATCTTTAAACATATGCATCACCTTGCCATGGAAGATTATGATTTCCACCACAAAAGTCCCTCCTTTTTGCTGAGGCAATGTGATCCCAATGTGACCCCAGAGTACACATGACACTGAAGAAGGAAATATCAAAGATAAAACAGAAAGTTATTAAGGCCCATTGCTTTGGGATGTTATCATGGAATTTGCTGCTCAGATAGGGGAATTCCAAGGGGTTAGGAAACAGGGCAGGTTATGTTTTTCTTAGGAGAAAGAAGGGAAGGAATTCAAGGGGATTTCCCAGAAAGGGTCCTGCAACTCAAAGGGGGTTAATATTCCCTGGCCAGTGGAGAGCAGCCAGAAGGACTTCAGGAGTTCCAGCATTCCCCTTGACTTTATTTGGTAGGAATTCTTTCCTTCACAGAATCATCTTCTTGAGCATGAGGTAAGCATCTCACACATGAGGGACAGAGATGAGAAAGCCCCAGCCCAGCCCCTTGCTTCCCTTCAACCATGGATGTTGTGTGCCATTTTACTCCCACACTTGATTATTCTAAGACACCATCGATTATAAGACATCACAATCCTATGTAATACTCAGAAGGAAAAATTATTTCCAGCTAAAACTTCGGCATATCAATGATGAGAAGTATTTCAGCTTCCGTGATGATAAATATGAAAAAATGCACATCTTAGAACCCTGAAATTGTAGGATTTATATATTGATTAGATTGGTGTAGCAAGCCAACTTCCACTAACAGAACACCATCCATCTGCAGGGGCTGGGTGGGGACAGTGTATCATTCTCCAGAACTCAGAGAAGAAGGTCTTTTGCTAGAGAGGACAATTGACAGTGGCCATTTGTGATGATTTTCCTTAAGGCCCAGAATACTCTGAACAAAAACAAAATGATCTTTGGAAAGGAAACAACTGCTTTCTTCCCAGAGAAAAGAAACAAATGGGACTCTCACTGCCATTTCTCAAATCGTGGCTCAAGGCCCATCTGTAGACCTGACGATCCTTGCAAGGGTCCTTGAGTGCAGTCAGCATCCCAGTCTTCATGGGAGACCCTCAGAGGATGTGTCACAGTACAGTCCCAGAGACCTTCTCACCTATCCCCAGGGTCCTTGTGTAACCTAGGGACATTTATTTCATACAGCCTTCAGGGGAAAATGGCTGTTTGCTGAGAATAAGGAAAGAGGTAAAAAGTTAACCATTCATTCTTGCCCTCCTGCTACTGTCATCTTTTCTTTTTTTAGTATTTCCATGCAATTCCTCTTTTTTCTTCCCTTCTCCATTTTCTTTTTCTGCCTATTTAAGAAGTTTTTGCACTATTGCATTCTTTCAAACTTTCTTGATTTTTTTATTTGCCTTCATAAATACATCTAATTTTTTATGTATTTTCCATTCTTGAGAAATATTTTCCTTTTCCAGAAGAGAATAACCCCCCCCAAAAAAACTTCATGATGATGATAGAGACCATAAAAGAAGAAATGAGAAAATCTTTTAAAGAAATGGAAGAAAAGAATGGCGGCGGGGCGAGCCAGTCTGGTGGAAGCTATAGTTCCTACATGTCGGGTGAGGCAGACGGACTGTTCAAACGGGTGCTGGTGCCGATTCTCTTACCTGAGAAACGCTATGACCAACTTTCCGTCCACTGGGACTTGCTTCACGTTCCCTGCCTCAAGATTCTCCTCAGCAAAGGTCTTGGGCTGGGCATCGTGGCTGGATCACTTTTGGTAAAGCTGCCCCAGATATTTAAAATCTTGGGCGCCAAGAGTGCAGAAGGACTGAGTCTCCAGTCAGTAATGCTGGAGCTGGTAGCGTTGACTGGAACTGCGGTCTACAGCATCGCAAACAACTTCCCCTTCGGCCCTTGGGGTGAAGCACTGTTCCTGACACTTCAGACAATTACCATCTGCTTCCTGGTCATGCACTACAGAGGAGAGACGGTGAAAGGAGTTGCTTTCCTTGCCTGCTATGCGATGCTCCTGCTGGGGCTGCTTTCCCCACTCACAACTCTGGCTGTAGTGACCATGCTTCAGGCCTCCAATGTACCTGCTGTGGTCATAGGGAAGTTGCTCCAGGCAGCTACCAACTACCACAATGGGCATACAGGCCAGCTTTCAGCTATCACGGTGTTTATGCTGTTTGGGGGCTCCCTGGCCAGAATCTTCACTTCTATTCAGGAAACTGGAGACCCCCTCATGGCTGGAGCCTTTGTGGTCTCTTCCCTCTGCAATGGCCTCATTGCTGCCCAGGTCCTCTTCTACTGGAATGCAAAGCCTCCCCACAAGCATAAAAAGGAGAAATAGTGCTGAGCTAGCTTCTAGAATCATCCATTCAACTTGAGGGTCTTCCCTGCTTGATGTGGTCTGCTGGTGCAACTCAGTTATCCTCCATTCTTGCATAACTGCAATCCCCTGAGCCAGGGTTTGTTTAAAATAGTAAAGCTTTTCTAAGTAAAAAAAAAAGAAAAAGAAATGAAAGAAAAGACAAACCAAAAATTACAAGAAACAATTCAAACTGTGCAAGGTTTGAAAGCTGAAATAGAATAGAGACACACAGTCTGAAGGAATGCTGGAATGAGTAAACAATCTGCAACTACAGATGTAAGCATTACCAACAGAATACAGGAGTTATAAGAGAGAATCTCAGGAGTTGAAGATGCACTAGGAGAAATAGATTCATCAAGCAAAGAAAATCTTAAGTCCAGCAAATCCCCAACACAATATCCAGGAAATATGGGACACCATGAAAAGACAAAACCTAAGAATAATAGGTATAGAAGAAGGAGAAGAAAACCACCTCAAAGGGTCAAAAAATATAGTCAACAAAATCATAGAAGAAAACTTTCCCAACCTTAAGAAAGGCATGCCAATGAAGGTACAAGAAGCTTACAGAACACCAAATAGAGTGGATCACAAAAAAAGAGCAGCTAAGGAAAAAGGCCAAGTAACATATAAAGTCAAACCTATCAGAATTACACCGGACTTCTCCATGGAAACTCTGAAAGCCAGAAGGTCCTGGATGGATATTCTACCAACACTAAGAGACCATGGATGCCAGCCCAGACTACTATACCCGGCAAAGCTCTCAATCACTATAGATGGAGAAAACAAGGTATTCCATGACAAAACTAGATTCAAGCAATACGTATCCACTAACCCAGCACTACAGAAAGTTTTGGAAGGAAAAATCCAACCCAAGGAAGTTAACTACAACCAGAAAAACATAGGCATTAGAGAATCACTCTCTACCAACAGCCAAAAGAACAAAGGGGTGAAATTCCACACATAATTCCACCAACAACAACCATTCCAAATCAAAGAAGAATGAGCAATCAATGGTCATTAATATCCCTCAACACTAATGGCATTAACTCACCCATAAAAAGACACAGGCTAGCAGAATGGATTCGAAGACAGAACCCATCCTTCTGCTGCATACAAGAAACACACCTCACCCTCAAAGACATACATTACCTGAGAGTTAAAGGTTGGGAAAAATTCTTCCAATCAAATGGACCCAAGAAACAAGCAGGGATAGCAATCCTAATATCTAACAAATTAGACTTTAAAATAAAATTCACTCAAAAGAGATGAAAGAAGTCATTACATACTCATCACAAGCAAAATCCACCAAGATGAAGTGTCTATCCTAAACATCTATGCCCCAAATACAAAGGTATCCACATTCGTAAAAGAAACATTACTAAAACTTAAATCACATATAAAGTCCCACACACTTATAGTGGGGGATTTCAAAACACCACTCTCACCACTAGACAGGAATACCAGACAGAAACTCAACAAAGAAGCAAAGGGTCAAATAGAAGTAATGACACAACTGGGATTAACAGACATCTATAGAACATTTCATCCACATAAAAAAGAATATACCTTCTTCTCACCACCACATGGAACCTTCTCAAAAATTGACCACATACTTGGCAACATATCAAACCTCAGAAGCTTCAAAAAATTGGAATAACTCCATGCATCTTATCAGACCACCATGCTTTAAAATTAGAATTCAACAACAACACAAACTGCAGAAAACCTACAAACTCATGGAAATTGAATAATGCAAACTGCACCATTCCTGGGTCAAAGAAGAAATAAAAAAGAAATTAAAGACTTCCTAGAATTCAATGAGAATGAAGACATAACATACCCAAACCTATGGGACACTTTGAAAGCAGTGCTACAGGGGAAGTTCATAGCACTAAGTGCCTACATGAAGAAACTGGAAAATAGTTATACTAGAGAATTAACGGCACAGCTGAAAGCTCTAGAACACAAAGAAGCAAACTCCCCCAGGAGGAGTAGACGCCAGGAAATAATCAAATTGAGGGCTGAAATCAAGAAAGTAGAAAGTAGGAAAACACTACAAAGAATCAATGCAACGAAGGGTTGGTTCTTTGAGAAAATCAACAAGATAGACAAACCTTTGTCCAAACTTACCAAACGGCAGAGTGTGAACATGCAAATTAACAAAATCAGAAATGAAAAGGGGGACATAACAACGGACTCTGAGGAAATTCAGAGAATCATCAGGTCATACTTTGAAAACCTGTACTCCATGAAATTAGAAAATTAAAAGGAGATGGATGACTTCCTGGATAGCTATCACTTGCCAAAATTAAATCAAGAACAGATAAGCAATTTAAATAGACCTATAATCCCTACAGAAATAGAAGCAGTCATCAAAAGTCTCCCAACCAAAAAAAGTCCAGGTCCAGATGGCCTCAGTGCATAATTCTACCAGAAATCTAAAGAACAGCTTATACCAATTCTTCTCAAAGTATTCCACGCAATAGAAGCAGAAGGGTCTTTGCCAAACTCTTTCTATGAGGCTTTAATAACCTTGATCCCCAAGCCACACAAAGACACAACTAAGAAAGAGAACTTGAGAACAATATCCCTCATGAACATTGATGAAAAAATATTCAATAAAATACTGGCAAATCGGATCCAAGAACACATCAAAACAATCAATCACCATGATCAAGTAGGTTTCATCCCAGGGATGCAGGGATGGTTCAACATACGAAAATCCATCAACATAATCCACCATATAAACAAGCTAAAAAACAAAAATCACATGATCATCTCACTAGATGCTGAAAAAGCCTTTGACAAAATCCAACAAGCCTTCATGATAAAGGTCTTGGAGAGATCTGGGATAACAGGAACATACTTAAACATAATACAAGCTATATACAGTAAACCAATAACAAACATCAAACTAGATGGACAGAAACTCAACGCAATTCCTCTAAAATCAGGAACAAGACAAGGCTGTCCTCTGTCTCAATACCTTTTCAACATTGTACTTGAAGTTCTAGCCAGAGCCATACAACAACAAAAGGGAATCAAGGGGGTACAAATTGGGAAGGAAGAGGTCAAACTTTCACTGTTTGCAGATGATATGATAGTTTACATAAATGACCCAAAGAACTCTACCGGGGAACTCTTACAGCTGATTAACACCTTCAGCAAAGTGGCAGGCTGCAAGATCAACTCAAGAGAATCAGTAGCCCCATTATATACAGATGATAAAAGGGCTGAGAAAGAAATCAGAGAAACATCACCCTTTACAATTGCCACAAACAACATAAAATACCTTGAGGTAACGCTAACCAAACAAATGAAAGACTTGTATCGCAAGAACTTTGAATCTTTAAAGAAAGAAATTAAAGAAGACAACAGAAAATGGAAAGATCTCCCATGCTCTTGGATAGGTAGAATCAATGTAGTAAAAATGGCAATCCCGCCAAAAGCAATCTACAGACTCAATGCAATCCCCATTAAAATCCCAGCACAATTCTTCACAGACCTTGAAAGAACAATAATCAATTTTGTATGGAAAAACAAAAGACCCAGGATAGCCAAAACAACCCTGTTCAACAAGGCAACGTCCGGAGGCATCACCATCCCTGACTTCAAGCTCGATTATAGAGCTATAGTCCTGAAAATAGCTTGGTATTGTCACAAAAATAGACAGTTAGATCAATGGAATCGAATTGAAAACCCTGATATTAACCCACACACCTATGAACATCTGATCTTTGACAAAGAAGCTAAAAATATACAATTGAAAAAAGAAAGCATCTTCAGCAAAAGGTTCTGGCATACCTGGAGGCTAACATATAGAAGACTGCAGAAAGATCCATGTCTTTCACCATGCACAAAACTTAAGTCCAAGTGGATCAAAGACCTCAACATAAATGCAGCCACACTGAACCTTTTAGAAAAGAAAGTGGGAAGTACCCTTGAACAAATTGGTACAGGAGACTGCTTCCTGACATAACACCAGTAGCACAGACACTGAGATGACAATTACTAAATGGAACCTCCTGAATCTGGGAAGCTTCTATAAGGCAAAGGACACAGTCAACAAGACAAAAAGGCAGCCCATGGAACAGGAAAATATATTCACTAATCCCATATTGACAAAGGGTTGATCTCCAAAATTTACAAAGAACTCAAGAAGCAAGTCTCCAAAGCACCAAAAGATCCAATCAAAAAGTGGGGTACAGAACTAGAGAATTCTCAACAGAGGAGTCTAAAATGACTGATAGACACTTAAGAAAGTGCTCAACATCCTTAGACATCCTCAAAACAACTCCGAGATACCATCTTACTCTTGTCAGAATGACTAAAATCAAAACCACCAATGACAGTTTACGCTAGAGAGGATGTGGAGAGAGGGGAACACTCCTCCACTGCTGATGGGAGTCCCAACTCACACAGCCACTTTGGAAATCAGAATGGAGATTCCTCAGGAAAATGGCAATCGGTCTACCACAAGACCCAGAAATTCCACTCTTAGGCATATACCCAAAAGATGCACATTCATACAACAAGGACATCTGCTCCACTATGTTCATAGTAGCATTATTTATAATAGCCAGATCCTTGAAGCAATCTAGATGCCCCTCAACTGAAGAGTGGATAGAGAAAATGTGGTTCATTCACACAATGGAGTACTACTCAATGGAAAAAAAAAAACAATGGAATCTTGAAATTTTCAGGCAAATGGATGGCACTAGAAGAAACCATCCTGAGTGAGGTAACCCAGTCACAAAAAGACAAGCATGGTATGTACTCATTCTTATATGGATTTTAGGCCTAAAACAGGTGAGTGCCAGCCTACAATCCCCATCCAGAAAATCTGGGAAACAGGGAGGACCCTAAGAGAGATAGGCATGGTAACATAGAGAAGGAGAACAGGACAGAATCTTCTGAGGGTATTGGGAGCATGGGGGTTGAGGAAGCTGAGAGAAAGGGGGGGGTGAAGAGGAAGGGAG